GGAGACCTCTAAAGGCTATCTAATCCAGCCCCCTTCTGGCTTCATGCGGGAAAAGCACAATCAAAGCCTCCTGACAGATGGCCACCCAGCCTCTACTAAATAATAATAATAATAATAATAATAATAATAATAAGAGTTGGAAGAGGCCATCAAAGGCTATCTCGTCCAACCCCCTTCTGGCTTCATGCGGGAAAAGCACAATCAAAGCCTCCTGACAGATGGCCACCCAGCCTCTACTAAATAATAATAATAATAATAATAATAATAATAATGAGTTGGAAGAGGCCATCAAAGGCTATCTAATCCAGCCCCCTTCTGGCTTCATGCGGGAAAAACACAATCAAAGCTTCCTGACAGATGGCCACCCAGCCTCTACTAAATAATAATAATAATAATAATAATAATAATAATAATAATAATAGAGTTGGAAGAGGCCATCAAAGGCTATCTCGTCCAACCCCCTTCTGGCTTCATGCGGGAAAAGCACAATCAAAGCATCCTGACAGATGGCCACCCAGCCTCTACTAAATAATAATAATAATAATAATAATAATAATAATAATAATAATAGAGTTGGAAGAGGCCATCAAAGGCTATCTGTCCAACCCCCTTCTGGCTTCATGCGGGAAAAGCACAATCAAAGCCTCCTGACAGATGGCCACCCAGCCTCTACTAAATAATAATAATAATAATAATAATAATAATAATGAGTTGGAAGAGGCCATCAAAGGCTATCTAATCCAGCCCCCTTCTGGCTTCATGCGGGAAAAACACAATCAAAGCTTCCTGACAGATGGCCACCCAGCCTCTACTAAATAATAATAATAATAATAATAATAATAATAGAGTTGGAAGAGGCCATCAAAGGCTATCTCGTCCAACCCCCTTCTGGCTTCATGCGGGAAAAGCACAATCAAAGCCTCCTGACAGATGGCCACCCAGCCTCTACTAAATAATAATAATAATGTTGCTGTTGTTATTGAGTTAAAAGAGACCCCAAGGGCCATCTAGCGCAACTCCCTTCTGCCTTCATGCTGGAAAAACACAATGAAAGCAACCCCGACAGATGGCCATCCACCCTCTATTAATAATAGTAATAATAATAATAATAATAATAATAATAATGAGTTGGAAGAGGCCATCAAAGGCTATCTTGTCCAACCCCCTTCTGGCTTCATGCGGGAAAAGCACAATCAAAGCCTCCTGACAGATGGCCACCCAGCCTCTACTAAATAATAATAATAATAATAATAATAATAATAATAATAATAATAGAGTTGGAAGAGGCCATCAAAGGCTATCTCATCCAACCCCCTTCTGGCTTCATGCAGGAAAAGTGCAATCAAATCACCCCCAACAGATGGCCATTCAGCCTCTACTTAATGATGATAATAATAATAATAATAATAATAATAATAATAATAATAATAATAATGGAAGAGGCCAACAAAGGCCCTAGTCCAACCCCCTTCTGGATTCATGCAGGAAAAGCATGTGTTTCTAATAATAATAATAATAATAATAATAATAATGGAAGAGGCCCTTAAAGACCATCTAGTCCAACCCCCTTCTGGATTCATGCAGGAAAAGCATGTGTTTCTAATAATAATAATAATAATAATAATAATAATGGAAGAGGCCCTTAAAGACCATCTAGTCCAACCCCCTTCTGGATTCATGCAGGAAAAGCATGTGTTTCTAATAATAATAATAATAATAATGGAAGAGGCTCTTAAAGACCATCTAGTCCAACCCCCTTGTGGATTCATGCAGGAAAAGCATGTGTTTCTAATAATAATAATAATAATAATAATAATAATAATAATAATAATATAGCAACAACCAGCAGAGTGATCTTGTCTGGTGTGGACTCATTTTGTTGTGTTTCAAATAATAATAATAATAATAATAATAATAATAATAATAATAATATAGCAACAGCCAGCAGACTGATCTTGTCTGCTGTGAACTCATCGTGTTGTGTTTTAAATAATAATAATAATAATAATAATAATAATAATAATAATAATAAATTGTCAAAGGCTTTCATGGCCGGAATCACTGGGTTTTGTAGTTTTTTTCGGGCTATATGGCCATGGTCTAGAGGCATTCTCTCCTGTGCTATGGAATCCTGGGAGGTCCTTGCACATATCATAGAATCCTAGAATCAAAGAGTTGGAAGAGACCTCATGGGCCATCCAGTCCAACCCCATTCTGCCAAGAGGCAGGAATATTGCATTCAAATCACCCCTGACAGATGGCCATCCAGCCTCTGTTTAAAAGCTTCCAAAGAAGGAGCCTCCACCACACTCCGGGGCAGAGAGTTCCACTGCTGAACGGCTCTCACAGTCAGGAAGCTTTTCCTCATGTTCAGATGGAATGCTTGCCATAGATGCAGGCGAAACATCAGGAGAGAATGCCTCTAGACCATGGCCATATTGCCCGAAAAAACCTACAACAACCCATAATAATACTACTACTACTACTACTACTACTACTACTACTAATAATAATAATAATAAGAAGAAGAAGAAAATAGCAACAAGCGTGATCTTATTTGCTGTGGACTCATCTTGTTGTGTTTTAAATAATAATAATAATAATAATAATAATAATAATAATAACAACAATAATAATAATAATAATATAGCAACTGCCAACAGTGTGATCTTGTCTGGTATGGACTCATCTTGTTGTGTTTTAAATAATAATAATGATAATAATAATAATAATAATAATAATAATAATAATAATAATATTGTCTGGTGTGGACTCATCTTGTTGTGTTTATAATAATAATAATAATAATAATAATAATAATAATAATAAAATAGCAACAGCCAGCAGAGTGATCTTGTCTGCTGTGGACTCATCTTGCTGTGTTTCAAATAATAATAATAATAATAATAATAATAATAATAATAGCAGCAACAGCCAGCAGAGTGAACTTCTCTGGTGTGGACTCATCTTGTGGTTTTTTAAATAATAATTATAATTATAATTATAATTATAATAGGTTCTTGTGGGTTTTTTCGGGCTATAGAGCCATGTTCTAGAGGCATTTCTCCTGACGTTTCGCCTGCATCTATGGCAAGCATCCTCAGAGGTAGTGAGGTCTGTTGGAAGTAGGACAATGGGTTTATATATCTGTGGACATGGTCTCTATAGCCCTAAAACCCACAAGATACCTAGTGATTACGTAGTGTAACAGCAATAACAACAACAACAACAGTAACAGCAGGTTTGAAGAGAAACAACTGGAAAATTTATTTATTTATTTATTTATTTGGTAGTTTTGTATACCGGTCTTCTCACCTCCATTCGAGGGACTCGGGCTGGTTTCCAACATCAATATTACAGACCGTCATTAAAACATCATATTTCTAAATCACACTAAAACATTAAAACATTGAAACAATTAAAATGGCAAAAATACAATCATATGATTACAGTGGTCAGTCGTCATCAAAGTCATTATTCGTCGTCATCCATCCATATCACAGGATCATGGCTCATTTGTTGAATGCCAATCCCCAAAGCCAGGTTTTCACCTGTTTCCTGAACGTTAAGATCGAAGGGGCAGTTCTGATCTCCAGTGGAAGGGAGTTCCAGAGTCGAGGGGCCACCACCGAGAAGGCCCTGTCTCTCGTCCCCACCAGCGCGCCTGTGAGGCCGGTGGGACCGAGAGCAGGGCCCCTCCAGACGATCTTAGTAATCTTGATGGTTCATAGGGGAGAATACGTTCGGAGAGGTAAACAGGGCTGGAGTCATTTAGGGCTTTATAGGTTAACACCAGCACTTTGAATTGTGCTCGGAAGCTGACTGGCAGCCCGTGGAGCTGGTGCAACAGAGGAGTAGTGTGCTCCCTGTACCCCGCTCCCATTAGTAATCTGGCTGCCGCACGTTGGACTAATTGAAGCTTCCGGGCAGTCTTCAGAGGCAACCCCACGTAGAGAGCATTGCAGTAATCTAAACGGGATGTAACCAAAGCGTGGACCACCGTGGCCAATAATAATAATAACAATAATGGTCACTGGTCCCTTGCTAAACCCTCCTTCTTGTGTTGGATGGGGTTACACTCCCCCTGAAGACGTAGGTTCGCAGCTTGGGAGTGACTCTGGACTCATCGCTGAGCCTGGAACCCCAGGTTTCGGCAGTGGTCAGGGGAGCTTTTGCACAATTAAAACTTGTGTGCCAGCTGCGCCTGTACCTTGGGAAGGCTGACTTGGCCACAGTGGTCCATGCTCTGGTTACATCCCGTTTAGACTACTGCAACGCTCTCTATGTGGGGTTGCCCTTGAAGACTGCTCGGAAGCTTCAAATGGTCCAGCACTCGGCAGCCAGGTTACTAACAGGAGCGGTACTCAGGGAGCACACCACTCCTCTGTTGCGCCAGCTCCACTGGCTGCCAATTTGCTACCGGGCACAATTCAAAGTGCTGGCGTTAGCCTATAAAGCCCTAAACGGTTCCGGCCCTACTTACCTCTCCAAACGCATCTCCACCTATGAACCGACCAGGACATTAAGATCGTCTGGGGAGGCCCTGCTCTCGGTCCCGCCTGCATCGCAGGCGCGCCTGGCAGGGACGAGGGACAGGGCCTTCTCGGTGGTGGCCCCTCGGCTGTGGAATGCCCTACCTGCAGACATCAGACAGGCTCCCTCGCTGTTGGCGTTCCGGAGGAAGGTGAAGACCTGGCTCTTCGAACAAGCGTTTGGCTAATCAGTGCAATGGAATATAGGAACACGGTGCAATCGGACATAGGAATATGGAACAAGGATTACGAGAAAGGATTCTGATTTGTTGTTGAGGCGCTGTGATTATGATAATGATTGTCTTTTGATATTGATTGTTATGTAGAATGTATAGTGTGTTTTAATCTGCTTATGATACTCTTTTGTGATATTCTGTATGTAAACCGCTTTGAGTCGCCTGAGGGCTGAGAAAAGCGGTATAGAAATAAAGTAAGTAAGTAAATAAATAAATAATTCTTCCCTTGCAGTGCCCAGCATCCAGGCTATGGAGGTGATGGCCCCACCGACCATCTACGCCCTCAACGGCTCCTCCATCCGCCTCACCTGCACCTTCAACTCCTGCTACCAGGTGGAGAAGAAGCAGTTCTCCCTCAACTGGACCTACCAGGGTTGCAGCAACTGCACGGAAGAGCTGGTGAGTTTGGGGGGCAGGCCCTTCCTTGGGTGGGCTTTCCTCCCCTGTCCCTCCCAAGGTGTGACCCTGGCCTCCTTCCTTGCCCAGTTCCTGCAGTTCAAGCTGAAGGTGATGCCCATGGAGGAGAACCGCTTTGGGGACCGCATCGAGTTCACGGGGAACCCCAGCAAGAACGACGTCTCCTTCACGCTCCGCAACGTGCAGCTGGAGGACGAGGGCACCTACCACTGCTACGTCATGAACCCCCCTGACCGGCACAAGGGCCACGGCAAGATCCAGCTCAGAGTCATCACCGAAGGTCAGGGCCTGGTCTGAGGGATGCAGGCCCCTTTCAAGCCCCGATCCAAGTGGGGAGCGGGCAAAGCAGGGGGAGAACCCCAGGGAACTAGAGCCAGCCTGGGCCAACTTGGGCCCTCCCTCCAGGTGTTTTGGACTCCAACTCCCACAATTCCTAACAGCCGGTAGGCTGTTAGGAATTGTGGGAGTTGGAGTCCAAAACACCTGGAGGGAGGGCCCAAGTTGGCCCATGACTGAACTAGAGGAAAGTCCCCAAGGAACCCTGGAACGAGAAGCATCCCCCGGCTGTTTTTATTTGCACTCTGCATCTGCTCCGGAGCTGTCAATACCCCGGCTTTGAATGACTGCACTATTTTGTTATGTTGCAGAAACGCTCTTGTGATTTTTTTTTTGCGGTGTTTTGTGTTATGTTTTGTTTGCCTGCGTCTTGCTCTGTGCCTTGATTCAGGGGGTCACCTCGACAGGGGAAGCCCCTCCCCCCCAAATTGCAATCCTACCAAAGGCTGAGAGAGTGTGACCTGTACAAGGCGGTGGAGATTCGGACTCTAGTCTCGTCTGGTACCCAAATTATTCCACCATCTCAGTCTTAAGCAGGCATGGGCAAACTTCAGGTGTTTTGGACTTCAACTCCCACAATTCCTAACAGCTTTGGCCCTCCACGTGTTTTGGACTTCAGCTCCCACATTTCCTAACAGCCCAGGACCTATCTGGAGTGGGTATGGGCAAAGAGGCCCTCAAAAAGTTTTGGACTCCAACGCCCACAATTCCTAACAGCCTCAGGCCCCCTTTCCCCCCCTCAGCCACTTAAGCTTAACTGAAAAGAGTTAGTTGGAGTCAGTGGGCCAAAGCTTGTGTTATCCTGAGGAGAGTGAGGTAAACCTCAGTGTGAGAGAAGCCTTGTGTGAGAAAGCTCCAGCGTGAAGGCTGCTGTGTTTAAAGCTACTATGTATTTACTTACTTGTGTTATGGACGAGGGCACCTACCACTTATTTCAGTAGCCAGTTAAAGTTAGTGGGCCAAAGCTAGTGTCATCCTGAGGAGAGTGAGGTAAACCTCAGTGTGAGAGAAGCCTCATGTGAGAAAGCTCCACTGCAAACGTTGCTGTGTTTAAAGCTACTATGTATTTGTTTATTTGCGTTATGGAAACTTTATTTCAGTAGCCAGTTAGATTTAGTGTTCCAAAGAGTTAGTATTCCAAAGCCTGTTAGAGTCAGTGGGCCAAAGCTTGTGTCATCCTGAGGAGAATGAGGTAAACCTCAGTGTGAGAGAAGCCCGATGTGAGAAAGCTCCAGTGTGAAGGCTGCTGTATGTAAAGCTACTATGTATTTGCTTATTTGTGTTATGGAAACCTTATTTCAGTAGCCCATTAGATTTAGTGGGCCAAAGCTAGTATCCTGAGGAGAGTGAGGTAAACCTCAGTGTGAGAGAAGCCTTGTGTGAGAAAGCTCCAGTGTTTAAAGCTATTATTTATTTGCTTATTTGTGTTATGGAAACCTTATTTCAGTAGCTTGTTAGATTTAGTGGGCCAAAGCTAGTTTCATCCTGAGGAGAGTGAGGTAAACCTCAGTGTGAGAAAAGCCTTGTGTGAGAAAGCTCCAGTGTTTAAAGCTACTATTTATTTGCTTATTTGTGTTATGGAAACCTTATTTCAGTAGCTTGTTAGATTTAGTGGGCCAAAGCTAGTTTCATCCTGAGGAGAGTGAGGTAAACCTCAGTGTGAGAGAAGACCCATGTGAGAAAGCTCCAGTGTGAAGGCTGCTGTGTTTAAAACTACTCTGTATTTGCTTATTTGTGTTATGGAAACCTTATTTCAGTAGCCAGTTAAAGTTAGTGGGCCAAAGCTAGTGTCATCCTGAGGAGAGCAAGGTAAACCTCAGTGTGAGAGAAGCCTTGTGTGAGAAAGCTCCATTATGAAGGCTGCTGTGTTTAAAGCTACTATGTATTTGCTTATTTGTGTTATGGAAACCTTATTTCAGTAGCTTGTTAGATTTAGTGGGCCAAAGATAGTGTCATCCTGAGGAGAGTGAGGTAAACCT